CTGGGGTGCGAGGGCCGGGGCTGCTCCAGCTCCTCTGGCCATCGCCTCCCTGACCTCCCGCGCTCCCCCCGGACTGGGCAAGAGCAGCCAAACGGCCGCGGAGGCAAGGGGGTGAAGGGTCGGGCGTCCCGGGGAAGGCGCTTTGGCCTCACGGGGCACCGGGTCTCGCAGGTCTTGGGGCAGAACGGAGGGTCCTGGCGTGCCTCGGTTGCGGTGGGACCTCCGGGGACCCCCGCGGGAGGTGACGATGGCAGCTTGTGCAAGCCAGGCTCACCCTGCGCCCACCCAGCACTGCTGCTCTCACACATGCCCGTGCCACCCCTAAGTGTGCTCGTGGTGCAGAGGGTCAGGTCTCCTGGCAGGGGGTGGGTAGGAAGCTCTGGGGCACGTAGGAGCAACGGCAACTTCTCACCCATCCTACTCCACGATGCTTTCGGGTGAGGAGGCTGCCAACAGCCGGCTAGAGCCTTCCTGCCACACCGTGGCCGTCAAGCTGGACTTGGCTCTGCCCTGCTAGGTGCTTCACTTTCCCAGATGTTCTCCAGATATTCCCATGGGGCTGTCCTCCCCCTGACACGGCATCAACTCAGCCAAGCAGCTGTGGGGATGGCCACAGCCCTGCTCACAGCTCAGTCCCTCAGGGCTCACTGCAGGGTGAGTGATGGTTTGAGCTTTCAGGAGAGCTTTCCCTGAAGATGCCCTTCATCTGGTGGGTCCTGCCAGCTGCCCTAGAAGAGCTGGACCCCAAAGAGTCAGGCTCCCAGTGCTGACAGACCCCTGTGCTGGGCTCAGCCTGCTGCTGGTGGGCTCCATCAACAATCCATGTGCTTGCTGCCTCTTTCTTGCTTGAGGAAACCCTGCGTCCCTCAAAAGCATTCACTGCCTGAAATAAGGCAGGGGCCTTTCCTTGCCCTCTTCCCCAAACCCCCTCAAACTGGGGGGGGAGTCAGGTAGGAGATGCCTTGAGGCAGCTTATTGCAGGCAGGCAGCACCTGGGACAGGCACTTTGGGGCATGGAGGAGGAGGAGGTCTACATGCATCTCATCACTGCACCCCATCACACCCTGTGCCACACTCCTGCCTGCATCCCCCTGGACACCACCACCAACTCCGGCTGCTTGCCCGAGGGCTCCTTCAGCCGCGGGCGTTGCCTGTTCAGGAGTGCCATGGGGGCATCGAGGGTGCCCGCTCCTGCTCAGGGAGAGCAGCCTCGGTACTGACTGTGGGGGGGCTGCAAGGGGGCCAGCACTCTCTAGCATCGCTTTCCCACCCCGTGTGCCCCCATAAGCACCCTGCTCTGCTGGGCTGCAGCTGAGCTCTGGAACCCACCACAGCACCGGCACCTGCCCGTGCTGGAGCAGCCTGAGGTTCCTGGGCTGTCAGGGGAGGTCTCCTTCTCCCATGGCCCCTGAAATGCCAGTCCTGCGGGATTTCAGCAGTCAGCTTCAAATGGGAAACAAATCTCTCCTGTGGTTCAGGAAAAGACAACCGATCTCTGATGGGACTGCATCTCCTGCCAAAAAAAGGCCTGCCTGCTGCAAAAGCCTTTGATTCCCCCGTGCCTCCATGCTTTCTGCAGAGGGAGTCAGCAAACCTGGCTCTTACTTTTACTGAAATCTCTGAATTTAGTATACAGGGAAGGAAGGGGCGGTGGTGAGAAAACAGACTCTAAAGCACCGTGGCTGCCGGAGCCCGCCCTGCACGTTGCTGCAGGAGGATGAAGCCAGTGGCATGTCCCTGCTCCTACCCTGGTGCCATGGGAAGTGGCAGGGTGGGTGGGCTCCGGGGGTGTGGGATGGGGATTAAAATACAGTGGTGGCTGGATGCTGTGGGCGTGGTGGACTTGGGGCCGGCT